TTTTAATAGAATTCCCTGAATACCATGTAACAATCAGAATCCAGTTATTCTCAAGAATTTCAGGAAAAAAAAGTACAATCCAGTTCAAAGCATGTCTCAAGGAACACAGAAACTGTTATTTATTTAGTGCCTATTATATGCCTGAAGTTGTGCTAGGCATTTCTTGATAGATTATAAAACTGAATCTTCAAAAATCCTTGTATAGTGAGTATTATTATCCACATTAAAAAAATAGGAAAGTAAGCCTTGGAGAAGTTAAATAACTTGCACAAAGTCACTCAGCTCCTAAGAGCCATGCTTTTTGCCCTCAGTGTATTTAATTTTACTAAGTTACACTATTGAGGGTCTCATTGGTGACTGTAGAGACATTAGAGACTAGGTCTCGCTCTGTCATGAGGCTGGAGTGCAGTGGTACAACCATAGCTCACTGCAGCCTTGGACTCCTGGGCTTAAGCAGTCATCCTAAGCAGCTATCTCTGGATAATTACAAAATTTTTTTTGTAGGGATGGGGTTTCACTATGTTGCTCATTTCTCTCTCAAACTCCTGGCTATCTATATAGCTTGTCTGAAACATGAGAGCTTGAACTTTGAACTTTCTGAGACGTACTAATACTGATTTCTTTTGCATCATTTTAGAATTACTGTCATTCCTCTTTGTAACGCACTGTCTGGTTTACTCAGGAGTGAGATACATTCATGAAGATATCCCTGAGCTACAAATGGAAAAGTTGGGTGTCAGGCTGGCTTCCCAAAGTGAATCCTTTCAGATGATGACTCTTATGCAGGTAACTAATTAAGGGCATGTCTCCAGGAGAACCCGGTAATTTAACGAGAGGGAAAGAAAGAGAATAAGCCATGCAAAAGTGCTTTTTTTTTTTTGCTCTGTCACCAGGCTTATATATATGTGTACATGTGTATGTATATACACAAATATACAATATTTAGGCTTATCTAAGTATGTATATGTATATAATATATATAATATATATGCCTAAATAGTAGAAGCTTAAATCAGAAGCTGATAATTTTCACTGGAAATAACAGAGGGTTCAGTTCCGGTATTCTGCCCCTAAAATGACTCTTTGCTCTCCTGGGAGGGGAAAAGAAGAGTTGATACTGAGGGGGACACTGAAAGGGCTTTATATGTGGGAAGCTATTGCCCTTGTCTCCCACTTCCTCTTAGGGCTGTGGTTTTCAAGGTGTGTCTATCTTAATCATATGAAATTATTTCTCTTTATTTTCAAAATATACAAACATGTATGCCTCCATTGCAAATCTTTTGAATCATAACCATGTGGGCAAGTGGAGAGGTGTAGATAAAAGTAATATTAACTTGTGCAAAGTTACCTTTTCCCTTCTATTATGGAAAACATTTGAGCACACAAAAGAAGTTTAAAAAGGTAGTACACTCACACCCATATTCCTACACTCACATAATCAATCTACATAATTGAGATTAAAAAACCCTCAGGTGATTCTGATGATGATTAATTACTCTAGGTCTTGAAATCTGCATCCAATCAACTTCCTCTTGGGCTGGATCGGGGATAGAGGATGGACTTGCATCAACACACATCTTCACAGTCGTCAGTCCTTGGGATTATTTTTCCAGATGAGCCTGAGGACCAGAAGCCTCAAGTGACTTCCTTTTAGCCTGTTAGATATGTCTCTGGAATAGTCATGGAGAAGTTGTTGGGTGGCAGCTGGCAACTGAACAAAAGTCATTTTCCCATATTTGCCTTATTGATATTTCAAGAGCACATATTATGATTTTGAAATAGGTAATTAAACACAAATGTTGGATTATAGGCACGTTTTTAAAAAGTATGTGGAATGAAGAAACTGAAGTTTGGTCTATTACGGGAAAAAAAAGTCCAAGTCAACTTTTTGAAAGATTCCAGAGCAATAGACTACTTTAGACTCATCTGTCTGAGTGCCTGTATCCTTTTATGGGGGTTCACAGAGCTCTTTAAAAATCTGATGAAAGTGCCAGATGTTCTCATTAATGATCGTGTATATGAACCATATAGTTTATTTTGTATGTAAATTCAGGATGGATACTGAGGGAAATCCTTCATGAATTTGCCAGGGAGATAGCTAATGTAGATGACGGGGTGATGGATGCAGCAAACCACCATGGCACGTGTATACCTATGCAACAAACCTGCATGTTCTGCACATGTACCCTAGAATTTACAGTAAAATAATAATTAGAAAAAAAACACTTTTCTATACTTACCTTCAGTAAAGGAAGGTCCTAGTCTGTTTTGGGAGCCAAAATATGAATGAGGTCAAAAGATGGAATTAACGATGGTTTGGAGTATGACATAAGTCTTCCTTCAAATGAACAAGTTCAATCTTCTGGAAAACAGAGATGTAAAATGTGCCAGAAATATTGTATCTAACTTAAGTTGCCATTAGGAGCCCTATGCAGCATTAGGTTTACAAATAGAATGCTTTCAGTTTATTAATTCAGAACTGTTTTCCTACCTAACAGGTCCCTTCTTAAATGTCACTCAGGGAAGAAGTTTTTAAGCACCAATATTTAAATATATTCTATATTATTCTCATCATAACATCTTAATTTCCTTTTTAGCATAGTTGACACCAGGATTTGTATAACTCATTGATTTATTTGTATTTGACTGTCACTCCACAGAATTTAAGCACAATCAGGATAAAGACCTTGTTTACCTTGTATATTACTGTGCCATACACAGTTCAAGGCTAAGAAATACATGATGAATGAATGAATGATGAATTTACAGAGTTTGTGGTAAGACCCAAGCTTATGTAATTTTCCTGAGAGTACTTAGGAAAGATATCTGGGCAATTAATTGTGTTTGTAACAAGTTCTCTTGATGATGACGATGAAGACCACTGTGATGACGATGATAACATCAGCTGCCTTTGCAGCTGCTGTGTGGTGAACTGAAGTGAGCAGACCAAAAGAAATGAAAAGACAGCTAAAGCACAGCTTTAAATGATATCCTTTAATCTCTGGCTGCTGGGAAGAGCAGCCACAGATAAACTAGTTTGTGTGCCAGGATCCCAAAAGAGCTGACAAACTGTGAGCAAGATTAACTCTTAAGAAAGGTAAAGTCTCCGATAGCAACAGGTACTGTAAACAGTGGTCACTGTTGCTAATGAGAGAATAGGCTTGGTGTGTCTCTGGGACACAAAGACATGCGCCTCTCCCAGGCTTCCAGTGAGACTTGTGAAGCAGCCTGTCCATACTGGCCACTTTCCAGGGGACAATCCAGGTGGTCACACCCAACCATTTCTAGCTATTTTCTTATATAGCTCTAGTTTATTAAGAAAGACATACAAAGACATGTAGTGTAATCATTATTACTACCTTTTCGGCCATTAAAAATTATATAACTTGAAAGTGCGCACTGTGTAAATAAAACTTTTTCCCACATGTCTATGACACCTGGCAAGTCTCAGTTTATTATTTGTTGATATGTTCACCTTAAGCATGAGGAAATATGTATATTTCTTGCTATTTATCCTTTTAAACAGAACAAAACTGCAAATTAAAAAAAAAAAATAGCTGGGTATGGTGTCTCATGCCTGTAATCCAGCATTTTGGGAGGCTGAGGTGGGCATGTTGCTTGAACCCAGGAGTTCTAGACCAGCCTGGGCAACATAGTAAGACCCTGTCTCTACAAAAAAATACAAAAAATTGGCTAGGCATGGTGGCATTTGCCTGTAGTCCTAGTTACCTGGGAGACTGAGATGGGAGGATTGCTTAAGCCTGGGAGGCTGAGGGGGCAGTGAGCCAAGATCTCACCACTAAACTCCAGCCTGGGTGACAAAGTGAGACCCTGTCTCAAAAAAACTAAAAAAAATTAGACACGTTAGTGAAGTTCATTCTACAATTCAGTGTGACTCTTTTATAACGAGATAAGTACCAATATCTTTATGAACACACATATATTAAGAAAAGAAAACAAAGCGAAAGAAAAAGAAATGTGGTTTGGAATTCCTTGTTTCGTTTTACTCTGATTTGATAATTTCCCTGGCTCAAATCTAGAACTGGAAGGTTGTGGCTTATTGTATCAGAGGTTAAGCCTTGTAGCTCTTATTTCCTGCTCCAACTAGAACCAAGATGTCCAAAGAGTATGTTTGGAATGACTTTTTTAAAAAAATGATTTCTAGCTCTGTGTCTAGTCAGAGAATGGAGGAGTTTGGGCCACCTCTGGAAAACAACTTCAATGTAGAAAACCATGGACTGCAAGGTCGTGCTTCCACATACTTATTTTTGTGAAGTAGGTGGCAAGTTCTCAAAATAATTTTGTCTGTGAGATACAGACATGTCTGGGACACTTTCATAACCAGTTTCATGCAGTAATTAGCCTCAGAGCTGGAGTATGCTAGAAACTACTGGGCCCTGGGCAGTGGTTAAATTAGGTGTGAACGTAAGCTGGGCTACTCTCCATTGTGCAGTTAAAAACCAAAGGTGGGCACAGAGAGAGTATTTGTTCTGCCCTTTCTTCACCCACTGCATTTTCATTTCCCTCTCACGACTCCAGAGGCCTAATAAAGGACTCTAACATACAGTATTCAACACAGCTTTAAAAAATCCATGCAGAGTGCAAAATTGTAGTAGGAATTTGGGTTTTGTTTTTCTTTTGGGTTTAATATGACTTCCTAGGTTCAGCGTACTTTGTAATATATTTCTTAAAGCGCAGGATCATGAGGGCAAATTCCCTTGGGGGAAAGTGGCTCTGTGAGTTGATTAGCACCGTTTGCCTGCTTCCTAACCCTCTTCTGCTCAGGTATTAGTTGTTCAGACAGCTGAGCTCCAGCTCAGCTCCCCAGGTCCTGCGCTCCATTTTAATGCAAGCCAGTGATGCAAAGTCCCCGGCTTGGCCTGTCAGAACTTGATAGCTCTGTAAACACTGAAATCCTTGTTGCCATAACACCAGGAAAAATAATATGGGCTCCTGCATATAAATATAACGAAGGCCTTGGGGAATGGGAGCATTTCTAAATGACTCGAAGCTCTGTCACGGCATAATCTCTTATAAATAAATGTCAGTGTAGTCACTGAATGCAGACTGGATTTTTGCTTGACTACGGTGCTCAGCCTTCTAGACAATAGTTATGCTAAGGGATTATCTTTTAACATAGTGCAGTTATCTTCTTTGTTTGTTTTCTTTTTTCATTATTCACATAAGCCAAGGGAAATGAAAAGCATCTTATTTCAGGCAAAAAGGCCTGTGAATGATTAACTCTGGTTCCATGCATTGGGACTTTGCATAGCAACCCCTTGGCTTGCAACGACAAAAAAGCTCAAGGCAGGAACAGCCGCCCAGGGACCTAAGACCAACGTTCTCAAATGAAGGTGGTGAGAAGCAGATTAAGTAGAAGCATTGTGTTTATGGGTAGAATTCTCTATGACTGGCCCATTTAATTTGGCATTGGTTTTACTGTACTTTTCTTGGTGAAGATGTGTTTTGCTGACCTTTACTCTTGCTTTTTGAATACATTTGAGAATTCAGGTGAAACCACCATGATTATGGCTTAATCTGGCTTATGCCACCACATTTTATGGGTTCTCCCTAATACTATCCCAAACTGGGCTAACTCTGGCTAATTTTATATTAAAAAGTAGAAATAATGGCACTGAAGCTTTATAATGGCATGAAGCTTTAATTTTAGCTCAACTGAAACTTTGTTGGTAAATTTTGGCACTCTTGAAATTACATATAACACAAGCATTATATGAAATAAAGATAAATACGTAGTGTGATTATATGATTCCAATTAAAAGCATATAAGTATGTAAAGAACCACATTGTACAAATCTGAAATCAATATCAATTTCATATCTTTTTATAGACATTTGGTGCTTAAACGTTTATACAAGGTCCATTTTCATGAAAAACAAGACAAGTTTAAAGAGTTAGAAGAAAATGAAGTATAAGCTAAGGACAGAAGAAACATTTGAGAATTTAGAAAAAAGCAGTATACTTATAATTGAGCCAAAATATTTAGGACACTTAAATTTAGACTGCAAGTCAATCCAGATGTTTATTTATTAATGTTAATAATGTTTCCAGTGTTGTTATAGAATGCTAACTCACAGGGGTTCTGCTTCTAAGTTTAAAGACAAATGAAATGATCTTTATTCTTTTCCAGCTCTGTTTTAATTTTAGGAGTTTTCTATAGCCGTGATTTTCCCATAAATGTGTTTGCAAAATCTTGAGCAGCTCCTGATGTCTTGCAGAAAGTCTGAGTGCAACAGTGCTCTCGCAAAGCTTTCCACGTTCTGCATTGCTCTTCTTGCTTCCATGGCAATAAAGAGAGAAACTTGGCATAAGAATATAATCTGTTCCTGCCTGTTTCTCATCTGAAGTCATAAACCTCTGCCATCCCACCCAAGACTAGAATTCCAGCTGGCATGAAACAGCTGTCTGCTTACAGGTTTATTCCGGTAGTAACCAAAGACAAAGCTATTTTAATTGAAGGCCCTAGGCTGTTCTCCAAAACCTCACAATCTCTGGGTCATCCCCAAGAAGAAACCATTGAGGAAAATGTACAAGTTACATTCTTTCTTATAGTTTTGACACACTGTATATTTATGAAGTTGAGAACATTTTACCCTTCTAATTTGTCTACATTGGATGCCATGGAGAAAAGGAGGGTCACAAACATGAAAGCCCTGAGGGGTCAGGCACACAAGCTGAGTCGGCAGAGAGTAGGCTGCAGTGCATGGGAGGAGTGTCCTGTCTGAAGGGGCATCTGCTGTTCTGCTTCACTTATTGCTACCATGTGGGAATGTGGAGGCCCAAGTTGCCAGATAATCTGATTTGTCAATAGAAGTTCTCAGTCCTGCTTTTTATGTGAATTCTGCATAGTTTTAAATGTTGGCAATTATTTTGGATAAAAATCAAAACGTTATGAATGTTAATCCAAACGTAGCTCTGGATTGGATGTCTGGGGCTGCTTGGATCCAATCCCTAGACTTCACTCTTGATTCATTACAGGTAGACTACATTTATCAGTTGCTTAGGTTCTAAAACTGTCTGGTGGCATAATTTATTTACACATTTTCCTTCTTATTCTGGTTAGCACTGCAGAAAGAATATAAGTTTTGGAGTCGGAGAAAGATGTAGATTTTACTTGTTCCAGATTTTACCAAATTGCGACTTGCAGCCCCTTAATCCTTTGAAGCCTCTCTCATGTCATCCAGAAATGAAAACTTATTTTACAGGATGTTTGGAGGATTAGATAAACTAATATGTAACATACTTAGCCCAGCCCTACAGGTGCTCTTTGCATGGTTTTATCATTCTGATCATTATGATTTTGGTTTTTGAGATGAGTTTCACTCTTGTTGCCCAGGCTGGAGTGCAATGGCACAATCTTAGTTCACTGTAACCTCTGCCTTCCAGGTTCAAGCAATTCTCCTGCCTCAGTCTTCCAAGTAGCTGGGATTACAGGTGCCTGACACCATGCCTGGCTAATTTTTGTATTTTTAGCAGAGACGAGGTTTTGTCATGTTGGCCAGGCTGGTTCTAACTCCTAACCTCAGATGATCAACCTACCTTAGCCTCCCAAAGTGCTGGGATTACAGTTGTGAGCCACTGCAACTTTCTGATAATTACTATTAATAACAAACAATATCATAAAGTGATCCACTTTAGAAGACTCAAGGATGAGAGGCTGAGGTGGGCAGATCACAAGGTCAGGAGTTTGAGACCAGCCTGGCCAACATGGTGAAACCCCATCTCTACTAAAAATACAAAAAAAATTAGCCAGGCATGGTGGTGCATGCCTGTAATCACAGCCACTTAGGAGTCTGAGGCAGGAGAATTGCTTCAACCCAGGAGGCAGAGATTGCAGCGAGCCAAGATCATGCCACTGCAGAACAGCCTGGGCGACAGAGTGAGACTGTCTCAAAAATAAAAAGAGGACGCAAGGACTCCATCAGAAAGAGTCTCTCTCAGTATAGGGATAAGAACCTCTTTGTAGATCTAACATACAATATATCACAAAAAAATTGAGCCATCTTTATGTTCTTAAAGAATTTTGGGATTTTTTGCTAGAGAAGACCTTGAGGAAACAGAAACTCTGACAGCTAGAAATGACAGAAACATAAATTTCATAAGAGATATTAATATTTGAAACTGTGACAAATGAATGCTTTCCTTGAAATGCACTGTGGCGTGTTAAGAACACAACTTGTTATGAAAATAAAACCAAAGACTTTATCTGGAACCATGTTGTTAAGTAAAAGAATGTAGGCTAACTTTTTCCTATCCATTTTTGTGGGATTATTTACTTTGGAAATAAATGGATGAAAGTCACTTAGAACATTTCCTTCCTTATTTATTTATTTATTTATTTAGTACCCAGGCAGATCTACTATTAAAGAAGAATTCTACTCTCCTAGCTGTGTGTCTGTGATCTGTCGATGAGGGTAGCGAAGGACTACTCAATCAATTGGGGTGTACAAAGCGGAGTTTGAGACGGTAAGTGATGTTTTCTCCATGCTTTCTTTCAAAATTCATTTCAATTAAATCTTTAACATTGAAAGGAAGAGAATTTCTTCTTTCCTTTTCCTGGAACAATGGCAAGTAAGAACAGAAAAAAATATCTGTCTAACAAATTGTCCAGTGGTAAAAACAAAACAGGATACTCATGTAATATGGTTCAATGTATCTTGTGTCTTTCACATGACATGTTCTCTTGTTTGATAAGAGCTCTTTGACAGTATGATATTGAGTGGTAAGATGTGTAATGGATTATTTGAAGTGTTTATCTATAAGCCGTTCATATATTTACTGACAAAACTTTTATTATTTTTAAAGCTTAATGGCAGTTAGTGCTGGTTATATCTTCCATAACCTCCCTATGCCTATATATATATATATATATGTATATATATATATAGATAGATAGTAGTTTATTAAGCATTAACTCACGTGATCACAAGATCCCACAATAGGCTATCTGCAGGCTGAGGAGCAAGGAAAGCCAGCCCAAGTTCCAAAACTAAAGCACTTGGAGTCTGATGTTCAAGGGCAGGAGGCATTCAGCACAAGAGAAAGCTGCAGACTGGGAGGTGAGGCCAGGCTTTCTTTTCATGTTTTTCTGCCTGCTTTATACTCTAGCCATGCTGGCAACTGGTTAGATTGTACCTACCCAGATTGAGGGTGGGTCTGCCATCCCCAGCTCACTGACTCAAATGTTAATCTCCTTTGGTAACGCCCTCACAGACATGCCCAGGATCAATACTTTGTATCCTTCAATCCAATCAAGTTGACACTCAATATTAACCATCACAGTAATGAATAATAATATCTCCATCTACTGTGAGTTAGGAATTATGCTAGGCACTTAAAGGACATTGCTTGTAATACTCATCACCCTTTATGCAGTGATATGGTTTGGCTCTGTGTCCCCACCCATATCTCACCTTGAATTGTACTCCCATAATTTCCACATGTTGTAGGAGGGACCTCGTGGGAGATAATTGCATCATGGGGCCAATTGCCCATATACTGTTCTCCTGGTTGTGAAGATGGTTTTACCAGGGGTTTCAGCTTTTGCCTCTTCCTCATTTTCTTTTTGCCTGCTGCCATCCGTGTAAGATAGAACTTACTCCTCCTTGCCTTCTGCCGTGATTGTTAGGCTTCCCCAGCCGTGTGGAAGTGTAAGTCCAATTAAACCTCTTTCTTTTGTAAATTTTTCAGTCTCAGGTATGTCTTTATCAGCAGTGTGATAACGGGCTAATACAATTAGGTCTTCTTGTCGGTTATACAGAGGGGCAAATGGAGTCTCAGATGGCTTCCCTCAGGGCATGTAGATGGTTACAGGAGGTTAGAATTGAACCAGATTTGTTGTTCTAGGCTCCTGTACTGTATGCTTTCTCAAGTATTTTAGGGAATAATTTGTCCCACTTGTGGGACAAATGAATTACTTAGAAATCATCAGCAGTGTCTGACAGACAGCAATCCAACAGCAAAGACAGAAGTAGAACAAGATCAGATAACACATATCAGAGGCAAAATTATTCAAGATCCCTTGATATTTCTTAGCAGAGAAGGAAAAGTATTCTTCACCTCTTGCTCACGCATACATGACATGAAAGGAAATGGAAAAGAATTAAAAATAAAATGGTAATGGTAAGGTACAGAATAAAGAGAGAATGGGATTGACAAAAACATAAGGAAACTAGCTTCCCCCTCTCCTTTTCTCTTGTGAACTCAAGCACTTAAAAGTGAATTAAGGGCTACTAAATTTGATTGTAGAGAATGTCAACGACTAACAGTATCTGGCATTTGGTAGACAAGAAGTAGTCATTCAATAAATGTATGAGCAAGTAAGATCTTTGGTAACTTTATTTCCATTCTTTCTAAAGACTCTTTACTCCAAATACTTTTTTCTTAATCCTGGTTCAGATGTCCCCATGTTATGAAGAGTATTAAATGGTAAATAAATCAAAGGGCCATCCTGAGTGCAGAAAGAAATTCTCATACCTCATTGCAGATAAATTAGTATGACAAAGTACCTCCACTCTTTCTTTTCCTTTGGAAAGGGTTTTGGGTTGTTTACTCATACGTCCATGTACTAGTCTGTTCTTATGAAGAAATGAAGAAATACCCAAGACTGGGTAATTTATAAAGGAAGGAAAGAGGTTTAACTGACTCACAGTTCCACATGGCTGGGAAGGCCTCAGGAAACTTACAATTATGGTAGAAGTTCCCTTTTGACAGTGTGGCAGGAAAAAAAATTAGTGCTGAGCAAAGGGGGAAGCCCCTTATAAATCTTGTGAGAACTCACTCACTATCATGAGAACAGCATGAGCATCATTTTGGTAACCACCCCCATGGTAGTTATCTCCCACTGCATCCCTCCTGTGATATGGCAGGTCCCTCCCATGACACATGGGAATTATGGGAACTACAATTCAAGATGAGATTTGGGTGGGGACACAGCCAAACCATATCATTCTGCCTCTGGCTCCTCAAAATTTCACATCCTCACATTTCAAAACACAATCATGCCTTTCCAACAGTCCCCCAAAGTCTTAACTCATTCCAGCATTAACTCAAAAGTCCAAGTCCAAAGTCTCATCTAAGGAAGGAGAGTCACTTCCACCTATGAGCCTGTAAAATTAAGAGCAAGTTAGTTCCTAGATACAATGGGGTATAGGCATTGGGTAAATACACCCATTCCAAATGGGAGAAATTGTCCAAAACAAAGGGGCTACAGGTCCCATGCAAGTCTAAAATCCAACAGGGCAGGCTTTAAGTCTTAAAGTTTCAAAATGATCTCCTCTGACTCCATGTCCCATATCTAGGGCATGCTGATGCAAGATGTGGGCTCCATGGCCTCGGGCAGGTCTGCTCCTGTGGATTTTCTGGGTACAGCCCTCCTTCCTGCTGCTTTCATAGGCTGGTAATGAGTGTCTGTGGCTTTTCCAGGTACCTGGCACAAGCTGTTGGTGGATCTATCATTCTGGGTTCTGGAGGATGGTGTCTCTCTTCTCACAGTTCCAATAGGCAGTGGCCCAGTGGGGACTGTGTGTGTGAGCTCCAATCTCACATTTCCTTTTCCCCCTTGCTCTAGCAGATGTTCTCCATGAGAGCTCTATCCCTGCAGCAAACTTTTGCCTTGATACCCAGGTGTTTCCATACATCTTCTGAAATCTAGGTGGAGATTCCAAAATCTCAATTCTTGACTTCTGTGTACCTGCAGGCTCAACACCATGTAGAAGCTGCCAAAGCTTGGGGCTTACACCTTCTGAAGCCATGGTCTGAACTATACCTTGGCCTTCTTAGCCATGGCTGGTACTGAAGCAGCTGGGATGCGAGACATCAAGTCCTTAGGCTGCACTCAGCAGAGGGGCTAGGGGTTTGGCCCATGAAACCATTTTTTCCTCCTAGGCCTCTGGGCCTGTGATGGGAGGGGCTGCCATGCAGGTCTCTGACATTCCCTGGACCATTTCCTCCATTGTCTTGCTGATTAATATTCAGTTCTTTGTCACTTATGCAAGTTGCTACAGCTGGCTTTAATTTCTCCCCAGAAAATGGGTTTTTCTTTTCTATTGCATTGTTAGATTGCAAATTTTCCAAATTTTCATGCTCTGCTTCCTCTTATATCCTTTGCCACTTAAAATTTTTTTTCTGCCAGATACCCTAAATCATCTCTCTCAATTTCGAATTTCCATAGATCTCTAGGGCAGGGACAAAATGCTGCCAGTCTCTTTGCTAAAGCATAACAAGTGTTACTTTAGCTTCAATTTCCAACAAGTTCCTCATCTCCATCTGAGACTACCTCAGCCTGGACTTTATTGTCCATATCACTGTTAGCATTTTGGTTAAAGTCATTCAACAAGTCTCTAGGAAGTTCCAAACTTTCCCACATCTTCCTGTCTTCTGAGCCCTCCAAGTCTCTAGGAAGTTCCCAATTTCCCCACATTTTTCTGTCTTCTACTGAGCCGTCCAAATTGTTCCATCCTTTGCCTTTTACCCAGTTCCAAAGTTACTTCCACATTTTTGGGTATCTTTATAGCAGCACCCCACTATCTATGGTACCAATTTACTGTATTAGTCTGTTCTTTGACTGCTTTAAAGAACTGCTCAAGAATGGATAGTTTGTAAAAGAAAGAGGTTTAATTGACTCACATTTCTGCATAGCTGGGGAGGCTTCAGGAAACTTACAATCATGGCAGAGGCAGCTCTTCACAGGATGGCAGGAGGGAGAATGAGTGCTGAGTGAAGGGGGAAGTCCCCTATAAAACCATCAAATCTCATGAGAGCTCACACACTATCATGAGAATAGCATGACCAGCATGAGGGTAACCACCCCCATGATTAAGTTACCCCCCTCTGGATCCCTTCCATGACACATGGGGATTATGGGAATCACAATTCAAGATGAGATTTGGGTGGAGACACAGCCAAACCATATCAGTCCGTCTAAAGAATTATTTTTGTTGTTACTTTAGAACATCCAGGCGGAGCTCTGAGGAGTAGGGAAACCACATAAAATGTGGTTCTTTGCAGAGAAACAAAGAGGCAAGGTAAAATCACAGAAGGCCAAGTTTATCACTTATATTAGTTCACAAAGATGAAGTTTCAGGCACTGTACCTTCTTTGTAGCTGTAGAAGTCACTATCTCCAGAACCATGTAGATGAGTAGTCCTGAGTTTCCCATGAAGTTCTTGAATCAAAATTGCTTAGGGGAGGAAGAGGCAGATCTTTTTCATTTTATGAAGGTTTCACAGGTGGTTCTGTTGTGCAACCTAGGTCAGATAGCTGACTTAACCCTTTAGGTCATTCACTCCAGGCTTTTTTTTCTCATTATCCATTCCAAATTAGCATACACTACTGCACAATTATTACATCAGATACTCAGATCACAACAAAGAGATTCTAAGTAAAATAAGATAATATAAAGTTCATCAAAATATACCTCCCATCAAAACATTGTGATTTATCACCTAGATATGATAAAATGGAAACAGAATCTTGTAAGTGCACATGTAATTAAGGTCAAAACAACAATATTAGGACAGTCAGACCCCTGATCAAAATTCCAGAGAGAGGGATGATTGAAAGTTCACCAAACTAATGTGCCTTGTTTGACCCTCATGATTTTTCACCTAAGAGGTTAGGGATACTGGCAGAAGAGTTGCAAATAAGGTTGGAGATTTAGAAAAAAGAAAATTTCAGAGGGGGAGAGAGAGAGAGGGGAGGGAGAAGAGGCACCAGCATGAACTGATGTAAAGTGAAGAATATCCAGGGGAATTGAAAGGAAGACTTCTATTGAAAATAAGAGAAAAGAATGTTAGAGTAACTAAGAATGAACCAATAAATATAGGATGCTTCCGAGATGCTGGGGACATACGATCAAAGGGCAATTATGATAGAAGCTGAGCAAGTGACCTTAAGGCCAAGACAGAAAAGGACCCAGTAGTTCCAGGGAGTGGACTGAGAATACAACCTGCAGCAGTAAGTGAAAATAGAAGAAACCAGTGAAGATAGATGCCCCCAAGGGTCATGGCTAGGAGAGTTGCCTGTGATAAGAAATAACATTAACCCAGAGAGGGCTTGGAGGAGACTGATGCTCAAGCCTCAAAAAGCCAAGTAACAGGACACTATAGCCTTGAACTCCACTCATCATTGTAGGACAGTTTTTATCCTAAAAGTCCTTTTTATTATAGTAAAAATAGTGGTCCGCTTGAAAAAACTGTGCATGCAGCTCCCAGTAGATGCTCTGGGTATGACAAATGGCCAAAGAGAAGAAAGGGAAAAGGTCAGAGGCATGGTCTTTGGGAGAGAAAGCCACCCCCTTTCATCATCAGGTAACTACTGGAACCTTGCAGGGGAAGGATTCTCCGAGATGTAAGTCAGAGGCCGTGTTTCAGAGATGATATCCTCCAGGTCCAGAGTTCAGAGGACAGAGTTGTGGGACAATAACAGGGCATATATGTGACATTTGGAGAGGATGGAGCATGAAAGAATTTGATAGCGATAATCCACGGTGGAAGGGCTGCAGTGCCTCCAGAGCAAGAGTGGTTTATAAACAGGAAACAGGGAGAGGTGCTGGGGAAAACAGAATCCAGAAAGCACTTGGGAGAAAAGAAAACTCAATGTGAAGCTTAATGCCTGGAAGCAAACTAAAGACTAATCAGAGACTTCTTGAAAGGACACCTCAGGGAGATGCCAACTGAAGTGGTGGCTGAGGAGGCATCCAGTTGCTCTGCCACTCTTCTGACCTGAAGTGAAATAAAAGGTCTGGGGTCATGCAGTTAAAGATCCCTTACACACCCTGGAATGTCAGAGTCGGTATCAGCCTAGACCTGGGCAAGGAGGGAGGTAAGACTAGGTTGCAATTCTAAAAAGTGGAGCCTCTTTGTGATACAAAACAAAAGTAGTACAAGGGAGCCCCTTGTGGAACTTTTTAAATACCAAAGACTGTTGCCAAGTTGGGATGATTCCATAACAGATCTCATAAGATAGAAAGTTTATGTTTACATTTAGCCAACTGGATGTGTTAGACTGTGGCTGGGGTGGAGGAGGGGATGACACTTGGGAAGACCAGGAAGAGGTGGAAGGCTGTAACACAAAAGGCGTAAGCCCGGGAAGAGAAATTTTCCCCTTGCTGGCCACGAGAGGACCATGTAAAGGAACCAGGCTTAGTGGAGTGGGAGCACCATAAAAGAAGTCTCTTCTGTGGTGTTATGGTCTTGACAACAAAAATATTTTAAACAAATTGGTTAAAGAGCATAAGAAGTTATGTAAGCATTAAGGGAAAAGTGTAACTTGCTTCTGTTTACCTTCATATAAGTAAGGATATAACATAAAATATTTTTCAAAAACTAGTACAAAATACATTGAAGTACTATTTGAATATCATTGGTGTTTTCCAGTGAAAAGAGAAAGTTATATTGAAAATGCCAACTTTACAAAATAAAAAAGTGCTTAAAATTGTTCATCACTATAAATAGGCATACTCTATCAGATAGTGTATCTTCAGCAAGAAGACTTTATGGTGATTTGAATCAATAGAACACCATGTCTTGTTCAAAAAAGGTGCTTGATATGTGTTTCAGTGGATAAAATGAGTATATGTTGAGTAAGCAAATTAAAGAATAAATTAAAGACATAGTTGTATATTCTACTTAGGAAGTCTTTCTCCAGGGATGGGTTAGCTGCCCTTCTAGGGGTTCCCATACTACCCGCATATCTCTTCTCTCCCCTCCTCTTCCCCACTTCTCCCCTCCTCCTTTATGCTATGTTCTCTAATAAACCGTAAGCTGCTTGAGGTTAGGAACTAATTCTTATCTTCATTATAACTGTAGCCCTGACAATAGTACCCTGCACATGGTAGACATTTAAAAAATAGTTGTATAAATGAATGGTATTTAAGCTTAAGTCAAATGCTAAATTTGTATTATTCCTGGGAGATTAAGATGGGTTAATTTTTGGGGGGTTAATACTTGAATTTTTTTTTAGAAAGTCCATTAAGGAGCTATGATAAGAGAGAAGCAGAGGAACAATTTAGACAGTGATATTATTCTAATTTAACCATATATTTCAAATGGAAAATGGATTGTAATGATTCAGAGCAAAGAATTCCTTTCTTGGAAATCAAAGGCTGGAAAATTAAGGACGGAGACCTACTTCTTATTGAAAACACAGCAGGGGAGTGTCATTCCCCCTGAAATTATTCAGACTATCAGATTAAACATACATTATTTCTTAAAAAAATATTCCCAGAGGAAATCCAGCTTCTATCTCCCCCTACTGGTGTCATATTAAGAGTAATGTCTGACTTTTTTCCCTTGAAATAAAGAACGTTCTAATTAAGATGAACATTTTAATTTGTTGTTAGGACAAAAAAAAAATCTTAAATAAAATTTAAGCATTCTACAATGGATGTTTGTGTTGTAATGAGCTTTACCAAGA